CTCACCGCACAGAAGAGAATGAACAAGAATTGGTTTTCCTAGAAATAGTCTCCGCTGAACGGGCCTTGTCGTGTGACCAGCACTAAGATTCTAGCAAAACAGTTCTGTCTCTGGTGAGTTCGGGGGGAAAGGACCCTAACTCCCTGTGGAATGCCAGCCCAGTGGGATGACCTAGGGGACTGAAGGTGGCCGTGTTTGTGTGTAGATTCCACAAGATCCCAGTGTGGCTGTAAGAATGTCACAGTGGCCCGGCCGGCGTGGCCCAGTGGCTGAGCGTCGACCCACGAACCAGAAGCTCACGGTTCGATTCCCGGTCAGGGCACATGCCCGGGTTGCGGGCTCCGTCCCCAGTAGGGGGCGTGCAGGAGGCAGCCGATCCGTGATCCTCTCTCATCACTGATGTTTCTCTCTCTCTCTCCCTCCCTCTCTGAAATCAATAAAAATGTTAACAAAAAAGAAAGACTAACATATTGAGTGCATCTAAGGCAGGGCTCGCGGGCAGCAGCCCACCCACACACAGCAGCTACAAGTCTTACCACGTTGCAAACAAGCGAGGGGCTGCAGGATAATTTCAGGCCTCACGTGTCCCACAAGCAATGGCCACTGTTCACTTCCAGGCTTTTCAGCCCAACGTGGACATCCCTGGCATTCCCACAGGGCATTGTGGGAGCGGGGAAGGGGGATGGGGTGGGGGAGGGGGAGAAAGCAGGGTACCACCGCCCAGCATCCTCATCACCAGTACCTACACACACACACCTGTCTCAGTCCCTGACCGCTGGCGCCCCCTGGTGGTGAAGAAGGAAATGCGCTTTGTTTTCAGTCCATCTTCATTTCTGTGGGGAGAAGAAGGGAAAAAAAAAAGAGTCAAGGTTTGAGGAAAGCAGGACAAAGACCTTACTATTGGGGCGGGGACTCTGTGATGGCCGAGCCTGCAGAGAGAAGGGAGAGAATTCCACCGAGATTCCTGTGCCCCCGGCCTGCGAAGGACGCCGGTGGTGCGCACGTTTGAGTCTTTGGGGAAAGAAACGGCTGGAGAAGGTGACCCAACGCCAGGTTTCCAGTTCCCAGCTTTTCCACTGCAGGCAGGTGTGAGCGGGGTGTGGGAGGGTGTGGGGGGAGGGGGGGAAGGGGGAGGGCGGGCCCGGCAGGAATGCCCACTCCAGCGGATGCCGCTTTGAGGAAAGTGAATCTCACCACAGATATTCTCTCCAGGGTGTACGTTCTGTTGAATTTCCGTATATTTTCAAAACTACGTTCTTATTTATTTATTTTAAAACATGTCGGGCATATGCCCGACCAGGAATCAAACCGGCGGGTGACCTCCTGGTTCCTAGGTCAACGCTCAACCACTGAGCTACACCAGCTGGGAGATTTTCACCTTGTTATTCAGTCTCTCTCACATCAATGTTCCTCTCTCTCTCTCTCCTCCTCCTCTCTCTCAAAATCATTCTATATACATATTGCTTAGCAATGGGCAAAAACGTTAAGAAACGTTTTTTGCTTTATTCATTTTATTTATTCGTTTATTTTAAAATATGTTTTTATTGATTTCAGAGAGAGGAAGGGAGAGGGGGAGAGAGAGAGAAACATCGATGATGAGAGAGAATCATGGATTGTCTGCCTCTTGCACGCCCCCTACTGGGGACCGAGCCCGCAACCCGGGCATGCACCCCGACCGGGAATGGAACTGTGACCTCCAGGTTCCTAGGTCGACGCTCAACCCCTGAGCCCCGCCGGCCGGGCAAATGTGCGCTGTTTAAGCCCCAGCCTGGGTCGCTTCGTGATGGCCACTAACCAAGGAAGAGAGACCCACCCTGAGGGGCTGCTGGGCGGGGTCACACGGGACTCAGAACCTGTGGGACAGAGACTCGCTTACTTGCCAAACTGGTTTCTGGAGAGATCCAGCGTCTTCAGCTGAGTGCAGGTCCACTTCTCCGGAGGGGGCACGGCCACCAGCTGGTTGCCCTGCAACTTCAAGGACACCAGGGCCTGGGGCAGAGAGGGAGGGAGTCAACGGCGCCGTTACCCGCCAAAGGGAGCCCGGCCGGCCTGGCTCAGTGGTTGAGCGTCAACCTAAGAACCAGGAGGTCACGGCTGGATCCCCAGTCAGGGCACATGTCCGGGTTGTACCTCGGTCCCCAGCAGGGGCG